TAGCTATGAGTTGTAAAATATCTATAGAAAATCGTTAAAGTTTCAGCGCCAGAATAGATTTAATTTTAATTACCGCAAACTTGACGCCGCATCACAAATGAAAGGGAGGTCAGTGTGTTTTTTTTTAATTACCGTACCCATGCGCACAAAACAAACTGTCGAATACCGTTAACATCTACACCTGCATCATTGGCTATTACACTGCATTCTTGTCAATTGGCATGACAGCAGTAAATGCACCTGTCTCTTATACACATCTAGATGTGTATAAGAGACAGCTGCTACTGTGGCATATCTAGGGGTCAAGGGGAATACCCTGCCCCAAAAACTTGCTTTCCCAGTCAACCCACACCCCCACATCCCCCCCACCCTACTGATTTTAAAATGTTCAAACCAAAAAAGTCATGCTGAAGTAGTTAATATGACCCAATATTGACGTATTTAGCAATGTAGCTCTCGTCGCTAATCATCGATCCCCCACTCCACCTTTGCACACCCCTACCTCATTAGCCCTTCCGCTTCCATTTCTATACTCCTAATAATTTGCCACTGTGATAACAAACTTCAGGTCAAAAATTAGCCCTTCTGATGATGGAGCTGGCTAACCTGAAGCAATGCACAGTACTACAGTACAGCATGTCGGCATTTAAAAAAAAATACTGTAGTAAAAAAAACATTTTTAACTAATATTCGTAGTGAAATAAATTACAAAAATGAGATTACTTCTTCTTGATCAACACAAGTCTAGATATACAAATGAGCCCACAAGTAAAATCCAATCATAGGTACGCAAGTCAAAGGCCTGGGTTAATAATTTCCTTTAATTTTTCGACCCCGACAACCAGCTAATTAATGAACTAGGCAATTTTTCCATTTGGGCCTTTAACTGACCACACGACGCCGCAGAGCGGCACTCGACATACGCTTTGCCTAAGGTAAGTAAGGGGCCTAGCTTTAAGTTGCTAAATTGACTCAAAAAACAGTCTAGAAACTAATCAAGTAGGCTACAGTATCGGTAAATCAAAAGACCAACTTTACCAAAGAATGTCTTCTAAAAGGCAGTGGTGAAAAGATTAAATTAAAAGCCATGTTCTTGGTTCCACAGGTGGACATTGACAACAAGCACATTGAAAATTAAAAAACGCGCGACAGCGTGTAGCCTACTATCACAGCACGAACCTATGACGTTATCCAGTATGGGGGAAAATCCCTTGGAGGATGGGCGTGGTTAAAAGTCTAACATATCAAAATCAAAACAAAACCAAATAAACAAGTTTTCGGTATAGCAACAACGTGATGTGTAAAATAAGGATCGATAACACTGTTCCAAATTATTCGTGCATAAATAACCACCAGGTTGGATATTACCTCAACCTGATGAGAGTTTATAGAGGTCCAGCGCTGTTCATTTTGTGAGCAAATATTCCTAATGGTAATTCCATCAGCATCTCGTTACGCTAATTTCTCAATATCGCGGTAACACTAGGTATTATTACTTGTAGGCCATTATCAAAAGCCATTCATTGGCTCATAGTACGCCGATGATTAGGCTTGTGATCGAGCAAACTAAATTATAGGTCGTGGATTCGCGCCTTGCTAAACGATAGACTCGAGTACCAATTCTATTTGATCACAAAAGTAATAACCAGAAATATAATCTGATCTAACTGTTATAATTTATTAGGAAGATCTGTACTTTCAAAATTCATGTCCGAAAGTCAAATGACGCAATTATAATGCAATAGCTATGAGTTGTAAAATATCTATAGAAAATCGTTAAAGTTTCAGCGCCAGAATAGATTTAATTTTAATTACCGCAAACTTGACGCCGCATCACAAATGAAAGGGAGGTCAGTGTGTTTTTTTTTAATTACCGTACCCATGCGCACAAAACAAACTGTCGAATACCGTTAACATCTACACCTGCATCATTGGCTATTACACTGCATTCTTGTCAATTGGCATGACAGCAGTAAATGCACTGTCTGCCCTAGGGTGGCTTTTGATACAATCCCAGTCATTTTTCGACCCCCCCCCCCCCTCACAATTTAAATCTGTCGTTGACATTTTAAAACAGGCCTACTGTATCTAACTTATGATGATCGGAAAGTGGCGATTGTAAAAATTATGTATGTAGGCCTATATGAACTGTTTGTTGTTTGACTGCATCACTGAACACATCAGCAGGCCTACGGTGATCTTCGTCAGGAAATTAGTGATTCTGTCTTTTATTTGGAGAGGCCTAAGAATAATATGGATGTGTCCGCTAAATGAACCGTATAATTATGATGATAAACGTATTTGTTTCCATTGCGTTTCGAGCCCAAAACTCCGTCGATTAACATTGGTTGCTCTCCATACTTGGTTGAGACATGGTTGAAGAAATTATTGTTTCTTATAATTTTCAATCGAAAGCTAATATTCTCGAACACTTTAAATCAGTGGCGTACCTGGGCTCGACCCACCCCACCCCTTTCCCTTCTCAATCTGACCCCACCCCCCATTATTGAAAATGTTCGAGCAACAAAATCAAACTCAAGTAGTTAAAAATCACCAAATAGCAGCCTATTTTGCGAGCAGCTCCCCCTCACTTACTTCACCTTCCCCCGCCATCATCCACCTCTCCTTCCCCATTTCAAGACTCCTTACGCCACTACTGTGAACGAGTGTTTCATAAAAAGCTTTCCAGGCATAATATGATCTAAGATCCAATACATAAATAGACCTAAGTAATAGGTGAATAAATAAATTTTAAAACGAATGAATAAAATAATGAAATGAACAAGTGAATGAATGAGCGAGTGAACGAACACGAATGAATATATAAATTATCAATTAATCAACGAACGAATAACAGAATGAATGAATGAATGAATAGTGATTATATGCTTTATATACAGTCGGTTCTGTTGTGTTTGTTGTTAAAAAAGTCAAGATATTTTGTAATTCAAGAAAAAAAAAATGGCAAAATACAAAAATACCAAAATTTATTGAATCAAAACAAGGAGCTCAGTATTCCTAATGTGTTTGCAAATGCTCGGCAACATGTACAGCGGGGTACGGTATCGATTCGGCCATTGTTTGCCAATACAAATCAGAATAATACGG